CTGGTGAAGACTAGAACCTGAGAACATGTGCTAATATAACAGGAAATAACAAACTATGACAGGAAAATTTTACCCATGTGCGACTCACTGAAAACTAATATATAACAATAAATAACATACACTACTTACAAATTTGGACGTCCAACACAGATATACCCACTGGGATAGGAAAGGAAACTGTAACTAGGCGGGTTTACCAAAAGACGCGATCGATTTGATTTCGGATGACGAACGTGAAATTTTTCAATGGCGGTTTGTGCTGGTCGGTAAAGCAAACTTTTAACACTTGTTTCGCAAAAACTGATTTTATTTTCCACTCGCGTTGCTATTATATCCCTTCGGGATATAGGCTAAACGATTGAAAGAAAATAAAAGATTTGTCCGACCAACACCGCAAAATGAATTTAATTTGCACGATACAAACTTTTACCCGTCTAGTCACAAGGGAAGCAGGGAACGAACTAGGTGGACGAGTGTCCCCGTTGCTGGGCCCCTACCCCTTCCACTTGTGTGGTTAGCGTTGTGGGTATGGTCTTTCTATTGTCTAATCAGCTGACTATTTGTTCGCGTCTACTACATTAATTCGTTGTATAATACGACGAATCGGTACAATATTACTGTCAAGAATGTGATAAATGTTATAAACTCAAACTCAAATATCTTTATTTATTTGACAGTCGTTATAAACTGCATAATAGCGTCAACAAAATTTCTCTTACAAATAAAAACAATATTTCTTATAAATAAAATCTAAAAACTAAAAATCATTGATTTCTTAAGAAGTCTTCTACACTGTAACAACAGCGTGACAAAAGAAGACTCTTAACCCCTTTGCCAAATTTGTCCACACTATTTTCCATCTTCAGGGGAGCGGGCATTGAGTGCATTGAACAGTTGAATGCCATTGTAAAATAAATGATTTTCAAAAAACGCAGTTTTGTGCTTTGGAATGTCCAAATCACATGTTTGAAATGGCTTCTGAAACCATAGGGCGAGACTGATTTTGAAAAAGGTTGTAATTTTTCTTAACAAATACGAGACAGTTTAAGATATAGATTGACGGAAAAGTAAGAATTTTATAGTTAGCAAAAAGTGTTTTACAGGAAAATCTACGTCGCTTCTTAAAAACTGTTCTGATCGCTTTCTTTTGTAGTTTAAAAACTCTTTTAGAATTTACACACTCATGTCCCCAAACTGCAACTGCATATGAAAGACAAGGAAAAACCAGTCGGTAGTAAGCCACCACTAGAACTTTAGAGTCCAAGAATGTTAACAAATTTCTTAATAAGAATATACTAGAACTCAATTTATGACAGACATAATCTAAGTGGGGTGTGAATTTCAACTGGCTGTCGATGTGAACGCCTAGGAACTTAGTTTCTGAACAGGACGGAATGAAATGATTGTTGTCTATGGAAATTGACAGGGGTGTTGTGTTTTCTTTGTTTCTGATATGAAATTCGATCATTTGAGTTTTGGCACTGTTTACAAACAAGTTATTGCAGTTAAACCAATGTAATATTGAGTTGATCTGACCAATCGCTTTCCTTTTGAGGTCGCGCATGCATATTGCAGACAACGACAATGAGGTGTCATCAGCAAACAAACATACCCTACCCTCAGACTCAGGCACACAACTTGGCAGGTCATTAATAAAAAGGATAAATAAGACCGGACCAAACACCGAGCCCTGAGGAACCCCTGCAGTGATTGCCAGGGGAGGTGAAAATGCAGACTTTAAACAGTTGTTGTCATCAATGAAAGGAATTTGAACTGCCTGAGTTCTGCCGGTCAGATAAGATTCTATCCAGGAGTGAGCCACACCTCTTATCCCGAGTGAGCAAAGTTTGTCTAATAAGAAGCCGTGATCTACCGTATCGAAGGCTTTGCTAAGATCGAAGAAGATTCCAGCTGTAGCCTTTCCTGAATCAAGGGATTGAGTCAAAGATGAGACTAGAAAGTGAATGGCATCAACTGTACTTCTATTTTTTGTGAAGCCAAATTGATTCGGGGAAAGAATATTGTGTTTATCAATAAAAGATATCAGTCTAGAAAGAAAAATCTTTTCAAATATCTTCGAAAAGGTTGAAACAAGGGAAATAGGACGATAATTGTTAATACCAACCTTTTTACCTTTTTTGTGGAGGGGGCGAACAATTGCATGTTTTAGTTCAGTCGGAAACACCCCTTCTTCAAACGAGGAATTGATGAGATGAGTGAGAGGAGAGCATATAAGATCACTGATTTTCTTTAAGAGTTTTGAGGAAAATCCATCGTACCCTGATGATGACTTAGATTTTAATCCCATAATTTCATGCATTACTTCTGTCTCAGTTGTGCGGAACAAGTAGAAGGAGTTTTTGTAAGATGGCAGAGAAGGAGTATTGGAATTCTCTAAAAATGTCCTGGTGGTAATATGAGAAGATAGCCTTTGAACAACTGTTGAGTAAAAATTGTTGAAGATACTTGCAACCTCAGATGGCTCATCAACGACAATGCCATTCTCATCCAAAACAGAAATTCTCGGAGTTTTTTTCCTGGGACCTATAGAAAGGGATTATTTGATAACATTGAAGTAATTCATCGAAATAAGACAAAAACTACTTAAGTTATCGCTTTCACGAACACACATATATAAACAAATGGTGTTTTTGGCTGCTTTTTTTGGTGCTTTTTCAAAATGAAAAAGTAAATCGTTCAAGGGTCTATGTTTTACCATGCCACCTATGGTAATAGCATATGCGATATTGACTAAAATTTTTATTTATACATTTAGAATAAAAAGAACTGATGAACAAAGCTAAGTTTAGGTATGGTTTTTGCACTTAATGTTAAAATAAAGAAACGTTTAACTTATAAACAAAGGGCAACTAGACAAGTTATATAGTTAAAGTGGGATCCAAATAACATAACCAAGGTAAAAAACTCAAATCCCATCTTTATCGTCATTTAGATTTAAACTGTCTTGGTCTTAACTGTTAGCACAGTGATTTCCACAACAGTTTTTACAAACAACTGTACATGGAAGCCCATATCATTGACATGTAAATTTCATGGAATAACACGACTCGTCTACTGTAGTTGGGCAGGCACATTTAATCATATTTAATAGTTTGTCTGGTGCTGAGCTCAAGTCCGTTAATATTGGCTGAAATTCTATAACTACTAACTGCCAGCCCCATAGTGTGGGATCATATGTAGATTTTTCAAAATAAAACACTACTCGTAGTAGTCCTAGATGGTATTTTGCTGCATTTTGTGTTGGAGGCAAATGAGCTATATCAAACTCTTTTTTTAGCTGAAGCTATTTTCCTGATGTATAGTTCAAAACTTACTTAGGTTGCTTGCGTCAATATTACTTCCATATAGTGACACAATAATTTGACATCCAAAGATGATCAAATCTTCTTCAGTTACTTCTTCGCAGGATCCAAAATGAGAAGCCAATTTGCACAAACCTTCAGACTTAATGATGCTCTTAAAGCTGACGACTTACTTTTGCCAAATAATGCACTGGTTGTGTCACATCCTGTTAATGCGTGAATAGAAAGTAAATTTTTGTATGCCTCCTTTCCGATAGTTCCTTGAATGGCTTTAATGTCACGAATTTTATCAGAATGTGTGGCAGACTGCATTAAAATGGTCTTAGTAGAGTGATAGTAGAGCAGGATTAAAATACTGTATCATCAGCTAATACTGTGACATGATCTGAATTGGCTTTGTTTAAAACTTATTTTACTATTAGGGTCTTGGCATCACCTTCTGCACAGTGTGGCCTATTTTCTGAAAATAGTTTCGCAGCAAATATATTAAGCGTTGTTTATTTGTATAGTTTGAAAGAAATTGGGGTTTCTTGACAATAACAGGTGTATTTTCATCAAAGGCTACAACAACAGGCGACTGTTTCATGCATAATCTGTGCTCCATATCTTTAATATTTGGTTTTTCGTATCCATTAGATTCAGTTTACTTCCAGTCTTGCCCGCGGCAATGTACACGCGCGAATTGATTGCTGTCTATCTGTAATCGTTTCATGTTTTGTGTTAAATGTTTGTAACGTATTCTGACAACACATTCAGGCTCATTTTGTAAGCCTGCCATGAAGAAGCCTGGTGAAGTTAAGGAATCGCTAAAACATATATAGCAAGTAAAATTATACACTAACGTACATGTTAACCCTTTCCACTCGAATTATTTTGCATGGCTGTTCCCTCACACTTGCATTTAATTTAAAGAAAAATGGCATGTTTTTGGTTTTTAGTGTTTTTTTTTATCTAATATTAGTTATTTAATAAGGTTGAGCTATTGATTCTTATTCAGCATACATTATTATACAATATAAACATAAAATTACAATTTTAGTTTTAAAATTTTATTTTTGGTATGGTCATAAATAAACAAAAGCAAAATAAATTTTTACAAAATCCATATATTTAGGCAAAATAAAAATATAAAACTTTTTTTAGAGTATTGAAAAAATATTATTTACATTCCTTATGTAAAAACAAACAAAAAATATCAATTACATAAACATTTACTTGTATTATTATGAATAAAATATGTAAATTTCTAAAATTTGAGTTTTTGGAATTTTTGGTTTCCACGGCGACTTCTGTTTCTTAGTTCTTTTGCCTGTAATTTTCAAACAGGATTAGTAAACTGAGATAAACAGTATTTATCTGTAGGCCTATTTATTCATATAAACCGAAAATATAAATACACCGAAATTGTTATACTAAACCAAAAATATAATTTTCATTAGCGACTGTTATGAACATATGAATCAGTTGTTACCATAGCAACCAAAATGTTTATTATCAAATGTTTACTTTTCTATTCTGATCTTTAATATAACACAGTTACTTCTATTTCAACACTCTGTCTTTTTATATTCTAATATTTCCACTCGAAAGTCATCTCAGTTGGCGACGATTTGGTAAAAAACTATTATCAATTCTTGTTTTATTCTATTATTTTCAAGAAATTGTATTTTGTTAACCATGAATGAAGAACAATTTGAAAGACTCATGAATGTTTTGGCTGCAGCTCTAGGTAATAAAACTTCAACTCCTCAGATCAATCCTTTTGAACATTTTGATCCAAATAATGATAAATTCAAATCATATTTGGAACGTTTTGAAAATTATTGCAATTTGAAGAACATTAAAGAAGACAAGATGAAAGCTCAACTCCTGTGCTCATCCATTGGTAAGGAACATTACAATAATCTGACAACTCTTTTGGGCCCAGACAATCCTGTAAAAGACCTTAATTTTTCAAAATTAATTGAACATTTCACAATGATGTTGTCACCCACAGTATCTCATATTGTTGCACAACACTATTTCCTCAGTGTTTCACAACATTTGCATCAATCTATCTCTGATTTTGTCACAGTCCTGAAAGGTAACCTGAATGATTGTAATTTTTACACTTCTTGCAATGAATGTGAAAGTAAAATTTCAATTGCTGATGAATTTCTCCGCCCTCAATTTATTAGAGGACTAAAAGACAATTGGATACGTGAACAACTTCTACAAGATACTAATCTCAACAGTTTTGACTCACTCCTCAAAAAAGCAATTGCCCTAGAAGCTTCCCACTATGAATCAAATAAAATTTGTAATCCTGTCACACAATCATCAAGTGAAAATGCAGATACACACAAAATTGATAGGCATTCAAGGTCTAAGACAAAGGAATATCAAAGTTTCAAGCAATTTAAGACACACAAATATGATGACCGCCGTTCCAATAGATCTCAATCACAACATTTCCATAACAAAAGCTTAAACAGACACGTTGACTACAAAGCTTTGGGTATTGATGGACTTTGTTTCAAATGTGGTCGATCAAACCATCAGTCTAATGAATGCAAAACTAATCGGAATTATCTTCAATGCACTTCCTGTGGAAAACAAGGCCACGTATCAAAAGTGTGTATAACGTCTCTAATAAAGAACTCTAAAACAAACACCCTGTTGTCTCACTACACAGAAGATGAATCCAGTCACCCAGATGAGTATGGAATCACACAAATCAACGATGTGGAAGATCTTTACATAGTAGGACCAGACTCAGACAAATACATGGTTACAGTCACTATCAACAACAAGCCTCAAACATTTGAAGTAGACTCTGGTGCACGATTTTCCTTAATCTCAGAAACGGACTTTGATAAACTTGGACTTAAAGTGCCACTTCAACCAACTCCTATCTCATTTCGCTCCTACTCTGATCATATAATAAAACCTAAAGGTAAAGTAACTGTCTCAGTCTCTTACAATGCAAAATCACTAAATGCTGGTTTATTTATAGTACCTGCAGGTCATTCTGCTTTGTTAGGACGAATTTGGATTCGTGGACTTGGAATTGAACTCAGTGAGGTAAACAACAGAAAGCAATCACCGATGAATACAGTTGATGTTAATTTAGTTCCGTCTCTAGGGGATATATTCGAAAAATACTCAGCAATTTTTGAAGAAAGAATCGGATGTGTTCCAAATGTTGAAGTCAAACTCCAACTCAGAGATAATGAAAACCCAGTATTTACTAGGGAACGTGATGTCCCTTTCGCATTACGAGAGAGAGTAGAAAAGGAACTTACAACCCTCGAGTCTCAAGGAATCATAACTCCAGTCGCATCAAGTGATTGGGGGTCACCATTGGTTGTTATCCCAAAGCCGGATGGAGGAGTCAGACTATGCGTAGATTACAAGTGTGGGGTTAATTCAAAACTTGTCTCATCTAACCACCCCATTCGACGCATTGATGATGTCCTACATAGTCTCCGCGGATCAAGATACTTCTGCAAGTTGGATCTTCATAAGGCTTATTTGCATCTAAAAGTCGATGAAGAGGGAAGTAAGATTCAAACAATATCAACCCATAAAGGAATGTTCAACATGAATCGTCTCAGTTTTGGAATAAAAACAGCCCCTTCTGAGTTTAATCGAATTTTGTCACAACTGTTAAACGGATTATCAAAGGTAGAAGCATACTTTGATGATATCATTTGTCACGGTGAAACTCTCGAAGAGTGTAGGAAGAACCTTATTGCATGTTTGGAATGTCTCAAGAAGAATGATCTACATCTTAACAGAACAAAATGTGTTTTCTTCAAGAAAAGTATTAATTACCTTGGACATGTGGTGTCATTCAATAAGATTCAAAAATGCCCTAAAAAGGTTGAAGCAGTTACTCAGATGCCTCGCCCTCGAAATGTTGATGAGTTAAGACGCTTTCTTGGCTTAGTTACTTACTATGCAAAATTCATTCCTGACTTCTCTTCAAAAACACATCCGCTACTATGTTTGCTTCGGAAAGGAGAAAAATTCTTTTGGTCAGCTGCTGCTGAAGCCTCATTTCTGAATCTGAAATCTGAACTTTGTGGTGATACAGTTATTATTCCTTTCGACCCATCAAAACCAGTTATTCTCACAACAGATGCTAGCCCAACTGGAATTGCTGCAATACTCAGTCATGATATCGATGGTCAAGAAAGACCAATTGCATATGCATCCAGAGCATTGACCCAGGCTGAAACCAATTACAGCCAACTTGATAGAGAAGCTCTAGCAATCATCTACGCAGTCACCCATTTTTACAATTACGTTTTTGGTAAAAAATTCACTCTCGTCACCGATAATGAACCATTGTCACATATCTTTCATCCAGGACGTGCCCTGCCACGAATGACATCATCTCGCTTATTGCGTTATTCTTCATTCCTCAGTGGTCTTGACTATACAGTTCGATGCAAGAGAGGGAAAGAAAATGAAAACGTGGATTGTTTGTCTCGAAGCCCAGTTCAATCATCAATTTCATCTGAACTAACATTTGACAAAGAAATAAACACAATCAATGCAGAAACCTTACTTCAAATCTCCAGCACAGTGATAACCGCAGAAACGATAAAAGAAGAAACAGCAAAAGACCCTGAGCTTCAAGTTCTTTTGCATGAACTGAAAAACAGTCGCAAAGATAGCCCTTACACGATCTCAGACAACATACTTTTCCGATCAGATCGTGTCGTAATTCCCAAATGTCTTCAAAATCAAATTCTAAATGAGCTCCATGAATCACACCTCGGAATTACTAAAATGAAACAGCTTGCTAGAGGATATGTATATTGGGAAGGTATGGACAAAGACATAGAAAGATTAGTGAAAAGCAGTGAAGCTTGTGCTAAAGTTCGTCACAATCCACCAAAAGCTCCGGTACATCCGTGGGATCAGCCTGGTGATAACTGGGAAAGAGTGCATATTGATTATGCCGGTCCATTGGATGGAAATTATTTCCTCATGTGTGTAGATGCAAAATCAAAGTGGGCAGAAGTTCGCATTCTTCGAAATGCTCCTTCCTCAGCAACGACGATGGCACTACTTGAAAACATTTTCTCGGTCCATGGGTACCCCTCGTTCTTGGTCTCGGACAATGCCACTATATTCAAAAGTGAGGAATTTATCAACTACTGTAAAGAACGTGGGATTTTCCAAAAATTTACTGCTCCTAACCATCCTGCAACAAATGGCCTGGCGGAACGAAACATACAAACTTTAAAGAGAAGACTTATTGCTGCTGCCGATGATCCAACCCCAATTACCACAAAGCTACAAAACATTATGTTCAGATATCGAGCAACACCTTTGGCATCAGGCAAGACTCCAGCAGAGTTGTATTTGAACAGGAAGATTCGGATTAGACTTGACACACTTCTCCCTAACCCAAAGGCAAAGCTTCCATCAAAATCGATTGCTCCTCTTTGCGTCCGCTCTCTTAAAGTGGGGGAGAGGGTTCAGGCAAGAGTTCACCTGGGAAATAAAGACATATGGCAGTTTGGTACAGTCAAGAGAAAATTAGGTCAATACCATTACATTGTTGAATTGGATTCTGGACGAAGTTTAAAACGACACATAAATCAATTGATTTTGACTCTTGTATCCAAGAAGAAAGTTACCTTTACAACACAAAACAAACAAGATAGTTCTGTTGTTCCAAGAAGGATTCCTATTATAGACTGTCAAGCACCACCACAAGAGATCCATCCAGAGTCTGAATCAAATACAAACAATCCAACAGAACTAGACGGTACTCTAAGGGAAGAAAATCTAGACAGACCTCAAGCCACAGAACAAAAAGAAAACAAATTAACTCGTCCTTCCAGACAGCGCAAGGTTCCGTCCTATCTTAAGGACTCTGGAAGCTCTCCAGCGATTAAGTGGGGGAGAATGTTATGAACATATGTAGTTGTTACCATAGCAACCAAAATGTTTATTATCAAATGCTGTTTACTAGTCTATTCTGATCTTTAATATAACACAGTTACTTCTATTTCAACACTCTGTCTTTTTATATTCTAATATTTCCACTCGAAAGTCATCTCAGCGACATATAACAAAAAATATATAAAAATACCCCCGCCGCAGCAAACCTGCCGTCTAAGCGAATTTCCATTTGGCCGAATTGATTTTCAATTGATCTATTTAAATAACATTAGGTTTAACGAGTACCTAGGTTTGCTGCTACAAGGAAACTAATAAAGTAGTGTGTTTTTAGTAAAATATTGATAGCTTACTATAAAATAAATAAATTTGCCAAGTTTGATCAAAATATATCCATAAACAAGCAAACTATACAACATTTTACAATATTCTCCATAAGAATAACATGGGAATTTTAAATTTACCATTTTTTTAGTTTTCTCCGTAACCAATAACCGTACAAAAACACTTTGATATACTGAATTGTTTGTTTTTTTAAGCTCTTTAAGAAGGTTTAGAGAAAAATTGGGAAATTTTGTGTTTTGAGGGTAAGAAGTGAGAAAAACCTATTTTTACCCCATAAAACCCCCCATAAAACCCTGTTCCCATGGTCCGATTATGCTGGATCGCGAACTCATTCAAGTTTATCCCGCCTTACACCTTCAAACCAAATTTCATCAAAATCGGATAAAAATTACTCAAGTTATCGTGTTCACGGACACATATATATATATATAAATCTATATATATATATATATATATACATATATACAAATTTGAACGAATGGTGTTTTTGGCCTCTGGGGACATTAAAATGAAAAAGTAAATCGGTCCCGGGCCTAAGTCTTACCATGAGACCTACGGTAATAAATTCGCTAAAAAACGCTGAATTATCAAATATATCTATTATTTCTGATTTGGAACCTTGAGGTTATTCTAGATTACTAATATTTAGATAGGCCTAAATTATTGACCTACCTAGGGTTTGTAGTCTTTGAGGGTATGGTACCGCTTGAAGCATTCACCAGGGTGAAGGCCAGGTTTGCGTTCACACGTCTCACAGAAGAAGTGAGTTTCCCTCTTTTGACCAGGAACTTTCCGGTTGCTGCATACAGCGCAGTCCTTTTTCTGCTTTTGGTTAAGCCTCTCTTCTTTGTCGCTTGTGGAAGGCCTACCACGTCTTTTACCACTAGGATTGCGGAAGTCCCCAACAAGTTGTAACAACAGCATCTCCCTGAACTTCTTTGATTCACAACACTTGTTTCCAATGTTTTGTTGATACATGTTGTATAGTAAAAAACTGTTTACTACACTTACTTCCAGTAACCAGAAAAACATTTTTCTCCACCATTTTTTGGACTTGCGGACAAACATATACGACGATATATAGTGATCAGCTGCATCAACCCCACCCATTCGCTCATTGTAGTCCATAATGACCGTGGGTTTCAAAACTTTCTCTTTTTCTGTGCTTCCTTTTTTATTCCTCACTATCTCCACTACTGAAGGGTTATGCACAGTACTAAGCATGGTAACGTCCCTCTGGTCCCTCCATGCCAATACCAAAACGTTATCCTTGTGTCGAAAGGCACGCACTTCATGTAACTGCATCTTGTTTGACTTCATATTTTTCTTTTGAAAAGAAGATGGGTTTCCTTGTCGATTCCCTAGGACCGTACCAGTTAGGTGTATTCTTATTTTGGCGAGCTCCTGAGCTAAGGCCAAGCTGGTGTATAGTCTGTCTGTATAAATGTGGAACCCGCACTCAAACCCACACTGATTTCTGACTCGTTCCGCCAAAAGCATCACAATCCGCATGGTGAACTGATGTTCAGGGAATGGCAAAATAGCCGTGGTTGCAGCACCATAGTAAGGTTCAAAAGTATAAACATAGCCTGTTCTTGAATCGGATATAACAAATACTTTCATGCCCCACTTTATAGGCTTTTTAGGATTGTACTGTTTGAAATGGACTTTCCCTTTGAAGGAAACAGTGCTTTCATCCATAGAGAGCTCATAGGGTGGAACAAAGTATTCACAAAATTTAGCCTGTAAATATGTCACTAAATGGCTAATCTTAGATCCTCTTGATGGGCAAACGCCAGCTGGAGTTTTACTAGACACGTGCAGACACCAAAAAATTTGAAAAAAACGATCACGGGAGAAGACATCCGTAAAAAAGGATTGTTTTTTATGCCATTCATGAGAGAAATAATCCTGTAAATTAGGTTTAGGATTGAGACCCATATTAATCACAATGCCTAAAAAAGCTTTGAACTCATCTGCAGTTAAATCTTTCCAGTTTGACCAAATAGATCTTTTCTGCAAGGGGGTAGCCATTGAAATGTGCTCGTATGCATATGTATATGTTTCTTTTACAATATGATCTATCAACTCCCCAGTAAGAAATAATTGAAAAAAATCCAAAGGGGTTTGAGGTTGTTGTGGCCCCAATGGGGCCTTGTACCCTGACAATAGAGTATAGGGAAAAGTATCAAAATCTGGGTCAGAATCTAAGTAAGGTTTATAGTTTTTGTCTTCACTGGAAGGCTGTTTCTTCGGTTGCTTAGGCTGTGAGCTTCTTGGACTCTTTTTCGTAGGCGTAGGCCTTTTTCTTGAATAAATTGGAGTTTTAGAACTGCGTATGTTTTTGGGCCTACCTTGGCTACGCTTTGGTGGTACCGGTACCGCTACTACAGGAAGTAATTCATCAATAACTGGACTGACAAATAAATCCCTACTAGTTGAGGGTTAGATTTCTTGATGAACATTAGGCTCATGTAGGCTACTTACAGGTAAAGTTTCATCTGGGCTTTGTAATAGAGCACCAGAGATAGGCAAGTCATCATCAACAAATAAATTACGACTTGTTGAAGGGCAGGTGTCTTGTAGAAAACTAGACCTATGAAGGCTAGGCTTAGGCCTACTTACAGTTTCAGCTTTTGCTGGGCTTTGTACTAAAACTCCAAAGTTTACATCATGGGCCAAATCACCAAGTTCTTCTAAGTCACTGTCATCAAATAACAATATTTCCTCATTATCTAAGTCCGGAGCACAATCTAAATCGGATTCTTCATCAGAAGTCAAACCTCCTTCAAATAATTTACTGGTCAAGGAGTCTGACAAAGAAAGTTCGTCATCCATTTTAAAGTGAAATAAACATAATTACCCGTTCACTTTACTAAATTATCGGTAATTAACCACTGAAAAATGTTTACTAAACAATAGTTACCCAAAACAAGTAAAATATAATATAAAAATCGCGATAACAGTCGCTGCGAACAAAGAATATAAACTAGCAGAAGCAGACGTTCAAGTAAACAAACACGAAACGAACCAAACTTATTTCAAAGCCAACTAAATCGTTCGTGGTTGTTTTCTTTGATCCAAGGGCAGCTAAAATAAATTGAGAAAACCATTGATCAGTTTTTCTTATCATTTTAAACATTTCTGCACTATATAAAGTGAGTTTAGAGTCGTTTAAAACAATGTCGCGGCAGCCGCGACATTCGAGTGGAAGCGTCAAAAATGGATGTCGCGGCCACCGCGACATACGAGCGGAAAGGGTTAAGGATTGTCTGACAAGATGCGTTTTTACCATTTTTAGAAGTTATCTTAATTACGAATTGTACATTATAAATACGCTACGAATTGTTATTGTGTAGCATTCTAGTAGTTGTAAAATGTTCCACGTCATACCGGTGATGACGAAGGGTGAGGACAATTGGACCTGTGTGTCACATTACATCCAGGGTATTCTCCGCGCCAAGAAGCTCGACCTTGACCGGGATGCGGTGTAGGTCATTAAGTATCCAAATGCCAAAAACAGTGAGAGCCCTGAGGGCTTAGGTAACATGTTGGCCTGACTTGAAGTAATGTGACAAACAATTCCAGGTCTGTGTCCAACAGAGTAGAGGGGGTTTTTTAGTGAGTATTCTGCGATAGATTCAGGAGTCTCACACTACAGGCTGGCTACCTGTGTGCGTAAAAGCATTTTCCCTCCTCTCCCTTAAAAAAAAGTTGTTGTAAAATATACTTTTTTACACTAAAAAATAAATAACAAATTATATTTAAAAAAAATTACATGGATTACATAATTTTGTTTTGTTACAGGTATTTATCCACCGGAATGACCTTCACAAGCTTGCAATATGAATTTGGTATTGGACGATCAACTATTCCAAAAATCGTCCGACATTGCTGTAAAGTTATTTGGATTATTCTGCAGCCAGTAGAAATGCCAGAACCTACAAAGGGAACGTGGTTGGCGATTGCAGAAAAATTCTACGTGAAAACAAACTTTCCGAACTGTGTTGGTGCGATAGACGGAAAACACATCCGATGTGTCAATCCCTGTGGTGGTGGCTCAAATTTCTTTAATTATAAAAAGTTATTTCAATAGTACTCATGGCAGTAGCAGATGCTAACTTAAGCTTTGTTGCAATAGATGTTGGGGCTTTGGGTAAAGATGGCGACTCAAACGTGTTCAAAGACAGCAGTTTTGGAAAGAAATTTTATTCAAAGAAATTGGACTTTACTCCTCCGTGCGCTCTACCTAGTACAAATAGCAATCCTCAGCCTTTTGTTCTGGTAGGTGATGAAGCGTTTAAGCTGTTAACCAACCTATTATACCCTTACCCAGCACGGCAACTTACTCCTCAAAAACGTGTGTCCAATTATCGACATTCAAGATGCCGACGAACAGTAGAATGCGCTTTTGGAGTGTTATCTAACAAATGGAGGGTGTTTCACACCCCTATCTTAGTTGAACCATACTTTATTGATGATATTGTTAAAGCTTGCTGTGTGTTGCATAATTTCGTAAGTAGAAGAGATGGGGTAAACTTTGATGATGCAGAAACACATCCATTTGTGGATATCAACAATTTCGGACATGGACCTCGTGGAAGTGGCAAATGTGTAAGAGATAACTTTGCATCCTACTTTATGGGTCCTGGAGCAGTGCACTTCCAAGG